TGGGAAGTATTGCCGTTCGAGTAGTGTTAGTTTTTTTTTGCTCTCTTGTAAAAAAGCTGTTACGTGGTTTATGAGCTATTGCATCTTAAGCGACGCATAGTTATTACTGCTGTAAGTTTCAATTTTCCGTTTATGTATACCGAGTGTACTGATACATGTTTCAAACCCCCGGTTTGCATATAATTACGAAAAATTATTAGTTTTTTTGAATGTTCTTATTTTTGATTCATTTATATGTCTTAATAGAAGCAAAAACAGCCATTTGCAAAAACAGCCAATTTTTGCCACTCCCTTTGTATAAAATGAGTTAGAAATATTCGTTTTCTGCATTTAGTAAATAAAATTTACCTATTAATTAAAACAAGGCATGTAGTAAAAATTTAGTAGAAAAATCTTGAGTGCTTCGGCAGTTAGTAAGACCATGAACCCAATGGGAACACATTGTTGTTTAAACGTTTATATAACGTTAATTAACGTTATGAAAACCGTAATTAACGTTGTATAAAAGTTTACACAACAATGTGTTCCCATATTTTTTTGTCGTTATTTTCCAAATTACCATTTACCGAAAATAGTTGTGTGGTTTTTTAGTAAAAATTAAGAAACTAGTGCTCGGAACTGTCCAAACACTCAGTGTGGCAACTGCTGAAATAAATGACCATTTTACAGAGATCAAAAATTTATTAACTCTATTAGTAAAACATGCTATATGACTATATTTGCTAATATTATGTATGTCTCATTAACAACTGTTTTTTCTTCTAGGTAAGCCCATTCATCTCTATAAAGTTAGATTGGACGCGCTTGATAAAACTGATGTCGGTAAGTGGACAGTGTATGACAATGCAAAAATTAATGAATCATTAATTTAGTTAATGTGCTGGACAAGGAACGTTAGAAAAATTGCCTTTAATGGAGTGTGGTAATTTCATTAATTAACTTATGAAAGTGTCACATCAATTTTAGAAAGAGAGCTTATATAAAATGATTAAGAAGTTCATAGAGAAGAAGAGAGGATTTGCTGAAGAATTAAATTATTATTGCAGGTTAAAAGACAGAATAACTAATTACAAGTAAAAATTATTAAACACAAAGTTAATTTTCTTTTTTAAAATTTGACCGTTTTTGTTCTATTTTTGTTAGATTCGAGTTCTTGTTTGCTTAAAGTTTTATTGAAATTATGATAACATCTATCAAAAAGTTTAAAGAAGTTGTGGAAAAAGAAAAATTGCAAAATGTTTTCAGCTGAGATAAGAAAACTTCAACAATAAGAAGTTTAAATATTTATTAAGCCATAGGCAAATACAAAAATAAAAACTAAAAAAATGGGTTATATATAAATTCAAAAATGATTTGATTTATATTTGGAATCAATTTTTATATTAACCAATTTGTCATCTTTACCTGAAAACTCCTAATGTTAAAATATATATGTTATATTCAGTAAATATCCTTTTCATAAAATTGTTCCCCAAGTTAATACCCAATTGTGAGTTTTTTTTTTATAAAGTGGCCGATTTCTATGTCATTTTATGTAAGAAACTGTTTTCACTTAGTGAAAATACTAATTATATCGTAAGATTTGTATAATATCGATTGGCATTTTCTGGAGAATTATATAGAAGCAAATACTGCTGTTAAAGTCCTAAATAATAAATTTGAAGAAATATTTGAAAATAACATTCCAAAGAAAATACCAACTTCTAAATCGTATCCTGCTTTGTTTAATTGTCAAATTACAAACAAAATAAAACAAAAACATAAAGCTTGGCAGAAATATAAAAGAACTTCCAGTAATGAGGATCTAAATATCTTCAAAATATCGAAAATAATATAAAAGATAATCCTAAGAAATTCTGGTCATACATAAATACAAGGAACAATAACTTATCTAATCCTTCGATATTAAAATATAATAATGAAACCATTGAAGATCCTCAATTATTAGCTATAGCTTCGCTGATCATTTCTCTAACTCCTTTACGCAACCTGGTAATAATAATTTAAATGCTCTTAATTCAGAAAACGTGTTGTCCTTAAATATTAGTTCTGTCACGAAAAATGATGTAATGAATGCTATCAAAAAGATTAAGCCGACTATGACTATGGGTCCTGATTTAATACCAGCATTCCTAATAAAGGACTGCGCATCAGTGTTGGCTGGCCCACTTACCATAATTTTTAATTTAATATTGCAAACTTCTTGTTTTCCTGATTTATGGAAACTCTCGAGGGTATGCCCTATTTACAAAAAATGGGATAGAAATGAAATAACAAACTATAGGCCAATAACCATCATTTGTAACTTTGCAAAATTGTTGGAGATTATTCTACATGCAAGCATATACAATCACGTATCTGGTATGATATCGCTTGAGCAGCATGGATTCGTGAAAGGCAGGTCTACAGTCACACACCTTGTGTGTAAATCCCAGTATATCAGCGCCAAATTAGAACAACAAAGTCAGGTAGATGTAATATATACTGACTTCTCCAAGGCATTTGACAGACTTGACCACGGTATTTTATTAACTAAACTTGAGAACTTTGGACTTTCCAGGCCAATAGTTAAATTTCTTAAATCTTATTTGCAAGATAGGTATCAATTTGTTCAATACCGTGGATACAGGTCTGGCAGATTCTTGCAGAAGTCAGGCGTACCACAAGGTTCGATATTGGGACCACTTTTATTTGTCTTGTTTATCAACGATATCACATCTAATCTCCATCGAGTACATTATCTATTATATGCGGACGACAAAACTATTTTGCGAAATTAAGTCTGAGACAGATTGCGAATATCTTCAAACAGCATTAGATAACATAAATCTCTGGTGTGCGAATAATATATTACCGTTAAATGGATCAAAATGTAATGTTCTGACATTCACGAGGAAGGTAATCTTAATCAAATATAATTATAAACTGGATGATTTAATATTACAAAGGCCAGATTACATAAAAGACCTTGGTGTTGTTTTTGACCCTAAATTATCTTTCATACAGCATATCGAAACGACTACCTCGTCTGCTTATAAAAGCCTTGGACTTGTCATATGCAATTCAAAGGGGTTTGGTAGCTTGCATACGCTTAGAGTGCTCTATGTTTCATTTGTTAGATCGCGGTTGGAATATGCATCAATAGTGTGGTGTCCCATTTATAATATACATATTTGGTCTTTAGAAAAAATACAACGACGATTTGTAAAATCAGCAGTATACGTACTTGATGGTGAATATCCGGAAAGAGGCATCAAAATAATATTTTACTTGCACGTCTCAATTTATCCGAGCTTGCAAAACGTAGGCCGGCGGCACAATTTATAATTTTTTTGTATAAGGTGGTTAATAATTTAGTTGACTGCATATGGATATTAAACCAAATTAATTTTAAAGTTCCAAGAATATCATCACGTCATAATTAAATTACCTACAGCTAATACTAATATTATGATAGCATCCTCTTTATATCAAATGATCGCAAACTATTGCAACGTGGAGGACAATATTGATATTTTTTCTTGTACCATTGGCGAAATTAAAAAAGTTGTACTTAATGAGTGAATGACAATATTTTGATTTGTGTAGTTTTGTACAATTTATATTTATTTTTATTGCTATTGTATATTGTTTTATTATTATTGTCGAATAGCAATATTTTAATTAAAGTATAATGTATTGTTAGTGTTAACTTATTACTATGTATTATATTAATGTTTATTATTTCATTTCCGTTGTAATATTTATATTTTTTTTACTCTAATTGTTGGTAGATTTTCAATTTTTCGCTTTTTGTTACTTAAATTTATTTAAGTGTTTTGTATCCTGTAATTGGGTTCTACCTGTAGGATATGTATATGAAAATAAATAAATAAATAAATAAGACAATAATCCTTTTCAGGAAGAGGAGAAGCATCGAAACAATTTTTTGGTTGAAATGAAATTTTCTAAAAAATAAATATTCAAAATCTTAGTCCTATACAGGGTGTTTCAGGTTTAACTAAACAAACTTAAAATATGAATTCAGAACCTCGAAATTAGAAAAAAATGTCCTATGGAGGTATGCCCTTCCAAAGATAAATGCTAAAATTAGGTTTTTAATTTGTTTATCAAATTTGGAAAAAAATAAAGAAATGAATTTTGGTAGAGATTTTCTATTAATAGGGACATTTCTAAAGGATATTTTTTTACTCGTTCCTTATTGGTAAAATGGAAGAAATCCGAAATTTTATTTTCTTAATCGAACTTTTTAACGGACCAGAATATTATCATGAAAAAATGTGCCTTGATCATTTAGAAACTCTTTTGTCTCTTTGGGTTATTGAGAAAAATGCTTTAACCGTTTAATCACCTGGTGCATATTGCGTAATTTTAAACGATTTCATCAAGTGAAAAAATCAAATTTATATTTAATGCAAACATCATTAATTTTATTTTATTCTAAACGATATCAGAATGCACATGTTTATGTATTTGCCGGTACTAGGAACGAGTGAAAAATGAGAACAAAAAAATTGAATGTACTGAATTATCAAGGTGCGTGAAGTAAAGCTTTGACACGCACATGCTACTGCCTAGGATTCGTTTAATAAAACTTTACTGTTTAAATATTTTATGTTTAAACTACCTTAAGAGACTTTCTAAAATAACATTATTCTACCAAAATTCAGACTAAACTCATGCTTCAACCTTATTTACAATAGAAAAATAGTGAGCTTAGATGTTTAAATACCATCGGAAAAGCAAAGAAATTGTGGGAAATGTCAATTATCAGGCTGAGTTTTGATCAGAAATTTTTAGACATGTTAACGTATATGGAAAAAACAAAACATAAAGTTGTACAGGTCGTGTTATATATTAATTATTCAAAAAAAAAAAACACAGGTAATACAACCCCCTGTAACCCTGAAGGTACCTCAAGGTACCTTGTGTGGGAGAGACAACGAATACACACCCAGTGTCCGAGTATGATAGGATTAATCTCTGGTTTAGAAAACATCCGAGCTCCTCGACCGGGGATCGAACCCAATGGGACTCCAGGATGAGAGGCAAGTATCCTTACCACTCGACCACGAGGCCACTTTATTATAAATATAAAAAATAATAATAATAACAAAGCAATAGTACACTAGTTCAACGAAGAATAAATAAAGTATATTTTTAAAACATTAAATAGTATAATAAAAATATCATCAGCATTTATTCATTCCCTCTGTATGCCAAATGAACTACATGAAGTAGTTTTAGCGGCGTATTTGAATAATTAAAATTTATAACAAAAGGATTTGATTGCAACAAGCCACGGCGGAAAAATTAAATATTCCATAGACAAATTGCACATCATATTATCTTTTTCTAATTCGCATCTATAGTTTTTATACTATCGGGAAAAATTCATTGTAAAAATGATTTTATTTTGCAGCAATTTTCTTCATCCCTCTTCACTGCGTTCGCTTGTAACTCATTTTTTATTGATGCTACCATGAAATGAAGTAAATGAAATTAACGAGAATAAAATGTCTCTTTAGGCTTACGTAAAAATCCCAGCTACATGAAATTAAGCTATTATATTCTAGGACGCGAATTTTGTTCATATATGTATACATATTTTTTTCCAACAGATATTAATTAAAGCATAATTTAATGTATATCTGTGCATTTTCTACACAAAGACAGGGAAAATCAGCCTTCTGATTAATTAAAAATTAAATTAATTAAAAAAAACATTTACTTCTACGTATTTAATTGTATTAAATGCTAAACATCTAAACAATTTAAAACATTGTATGGAAAAGGTACATTAAATTAACTCAAACACAAAAAGCAGCAAATCAGTTAGTAGCCAAATGGGGATAAGAGAATATGATGTAATTAACGTTAAAATAAATGTTATAACGCCCATAACATTGTCTTCTGTATGTAACTTAGTCAAGATATTTTGAAATGTCAGTATTATAAATTTGAAAGTAAATAAAATAAAAAAAATATTAGATGTTCTATACAGAGTGATTCGTTAGTCTCTTTACGAATTTTAGTAGCAGAAAGTAGATGTAATTTCATGAAAAAAAAAATCATACAAACATAGGTCCGATTTTCTTTTGTTCACAAGTTATAAAGATTTAAAAAATTTGTATTGACTGAAAATGTAATAATCATAATTTAATAATGAACAATTATTTATTTTAATAATATGTACCGTATATTATAAAATCTCTGACTTATTTGGAAAAACAGGCACTTCGGATAAAATAATACAGCAGTAAATTCGGACACAAACAGTACATGACGGAAATACACATAAAAACAGTAAAACGGTCAAAGTAATTCTTATCACTACTTGTTTGTGGCGGAGCACACTGGATATCTGGAGTTTCGTGCTGCTAAGTTGAGCATTGACTGAAGAAGTATATCTTTTAATTTATACTAAACTTCCGGCAATAATAGTGGCGGGGATCTGCGCGATGGGCGACTGCTGTCTGTGGCAAACGTTATTTAAGCTAGATCAGCGCATCGTATTTAAACAAATTCCCCGCGTTAATTCATATAAACAAATGTTAATAAAATATTCCAGGGCTGGGAATCGCTTTCTCATAATTTTAAAACTGTATTTCCGAAAAGAAATAATTTCAAACGGCCATGTACTAATATTTAAAATAAATCAACTAATAACATCCGGTAAATTATTAAAACAAAAAGAAACATATTTCTTTACTATGCATAAATGATTGCAACTTGATACGAAATTAAACGAATTAAACTACTTCCCTCTTACTTGATTAAGCACAAACACAATGATCGATTTATTATTAGGATAATAAAACAACCTAACTAAGATTACGATTTGAGAAATAATTGTTTTACCAAATAAATTTAACTTTGGTTCAAAACGGTTTTAAAAGAAATATTAACACAAGTTTTCGTATACAGGGTGTACCAAAATGAAGGAAAAACCCACTGGTTGTTGCTATTAAAACTGTCTTTCGACAACTTGGTATCCTTTTGCGGAACACGTAAACTATGATTTGTATTATCGGTGCCATAGTCATGGTCTCTAGAATGATCAATATATGATAATTTATTTGCTGATATTATATAGCCACTAACGAGACACATTTTCTACGGTACTATAACAAAAATAATGTCATTACAGACATATATAGATTATGCAACCTTGAGAATACAGTCAGTGACATAACATGAATAAAAAAGTAGCAAACGAAATATCAGAGGGCACCATTTAAGCGGTAAGTTGTATCGTGTGGTAACAGTTATCACATACTTAATAATATTTTCACATCCAATACGATTTCTTTCGCACTTATGTCTTATAAAGACAATCTAAAACTAAATGGACTTACTGGTAAATGATTTGGACAGTTTGATTGAATAATGATTGTCAAATAAACATTTATCCGATTGCTCATAGTCATATCGACGAGCTTTTATTTAAGACGAATGAGAATCAGTACACGTAATTATTGTCAAATTATTTATGAACCTACTACTAGATGCATAGAACAAAAAGTTATAGATTAATGTTTGATGTATGTTGTTAATAGGTTGGGATTATAAGTCGTTGTATCAGAAAATCGTTTGCTCTTTTCAAATCTCTAAAATGTACAGTATATTCCATTAGAAGAAAATTAGATGAGGTCACTAATTAAAGGGCGCTAACCTCAAACAATTGAAGCAAAGTAGTAGAAACATATCTTCTTTCTAAACTAGGAAGTCTGGTTTTGAAAGACGTGCGTTCATATCGGCTGTAAATGAACGTTCATATCGGCTATAAACGAGTATTTCCGAAACTTTTGTATAACCTTGTATATAGGTACATAGTAAATGGTACTTTTATTTTACTACGTTTACAATGTTAATATACTATGAGTTTCATACACATTATCTTCATACAAAGCCGAATTTATATTTATTAGTTAGGACATTTTAACCTATGGTTACGATACTCGCATGAAATAATTGGAATAATCATGCATACCATTTAATGTGCTCTGCATTTTTCAATACTTATTGCTCATTTTAATTACGTGTTGATAATATAATACGTAATAATTAAAGTTGAAATATTATCACATAATACGTATACTTTCTAAATTATCCCCATGATGTCAGTTTCAGTCCTTTAGGACTTGATCTACACGGAAATGGCTATATTTATAGGAAGTAGATACAACATTTAAAATAATTATACTATCGAGCATAGTCTACAAGTATCATTTTTTCAATTGTATGCTTTTATGAATATATGTATCATCATATAATCTATTCCATTATTATCTAGAACTGATATGTAATGGATTCTTTAAAAAATTATTTTAGTGTTGTTAGCTTCAGTTAAATGTGATAACTTATCAAGAAAATTTCTTGTAAGAGTAGATGAAATATGTAATAGTTTTCTAAAATATATCAATAATCTCCAAAGTTGCAAAAGGCAAAGATGTGATATTTTAGTGTGTTAAGTATCAAAAAGATGTTGAAATATAAATAACAAAGTAGTGAACCCTGTAGTACGTAAGAAAATATACAGCAATTTACAGAGTACATACAAATATTGCAAAAATCAAGTGGTGAAATATGGCTTCTATTTTTATTTAATACAAAAATTGCATAGGACTTCATTTCCATTGAATGTATTATGTACAAAACAAATAAACTTATAAAAAAAAGAAACACGCAAGATGACACAAAGAATTACAATTACAATAAGACAGAAGAGCAACCTGAATGCCTTGTACATAGTATAGTAATATGAGTAGTATTTGTCAAAAAGGCAGCTACTCCAATGCAGCACTAGTAACAGAATATTTCTGCAAAAGGATTTGCCTTGAAATGATCTGCTAATTCTGTAGATCAAGAAGTACCTCCTGCATTACTCAATCCAGTGTTTTTAAGACTCTGCAATATACATATTGACAAAAACCACACAGCAGAGTACAATAAATAAAGTTATTAAATGTTTTCAAATCTAATTACTTTTTGCATCCATGCACTTACAGGATGCAAAGTTAAAGAATTCCTCCAGATTCCACAGTTGTCGACACAAGCACTAAAAAATTGTTTACTATTTTCCAGATCCACTCACTAGTTGATTATCTATGCATTTGTGGACACACAAATACAAATAAAGTTCTTGGACTGCCACTGCAATTGTAGGTAATAACGTTGTGAATTTTATTCTGGAGTTCACATACAACGTATCAATTTAATTGCGTAATATTTGTAATCTGTGGTCGTTTAAGATTGAACCTTCCTGAGCTTCAAAAAAGTTTAAAAGGAAATTTTGTTCAACAACTCTAACTTTAATTTCGTAGTCTCACTCTTTTGATTTCCTCAGAAAGTAACTTTCTTTTTTAGGATGTTCGCCAAGTTCATTTTTCTTTTACAGTACAATAACTGAAGTGCTGTTACACACGATCATTATATGAATAATGGGAGGCTCTGAACATGTGTCATTATTATTGAAATTTACTGGACGATTATTTCCCGCCCTGGTTTCAAAAACAATATATTTTCATACATTGCGAATGCAATTAATAGTACTAAAAGGCTAGTGTCGTTCCCGCCAACATTTGTTGCAAGTTGGCACTATGCTTGCTGCTCATAAGGCCACAGACAGTGCATTCATAGCATCACCATCTAATACTGTACACATCACTAAAGCGGCCATTATGAAGATAGTTGATTAGTGCAGATATTAGTCGTTAATAAATACATATATGTGACTTTAGAACTTATTATTTAGAGTTAAAATTCAATGACTAAAACGTAATATTGTATACATTCTAACATGGCTGTATGGCCCTGGTTATAAACGAGTTAAACTCCAATCTGGCTATCATAAAACCCACCAAGTGTTTGAGTACGGTTAAAAATACGGTATTTGTTGATTACTGGTGTGAAATCTAAAGGTTCTTAAAAAAAATTGTGACTTGAAAGCACACGTAAATCTTAAATGAAACGTGTTCACATAAAATATAATATAAAAGAAAATAATATATATCGGCTTTTCTTAGTATTGCAATTTTGCTATTACACTGTGCAACGCTCCAACAAAATAGAGGAAA